CTCAGTGGTCTTCCCAGCATGGGCAGATCACCTCTGTATGCTAGCATGCCGTAGTCAGCAGGTGAGAACTGGCAAAACCGAATTGCTCTGTATTCAAATACAGTTGTTAGCTTTTGTTCAGTTGAAAGCAGACCTTCGTCTTGGCAAAGATACCGTTTGGCCTTACATGGTTGATTTAGAGAAGGTACTAAATTGTAAGCTTGCTTTAGCAGTTAAAATCTCTCTACGTGGCTGTAATGGCCAAAAAGTAATGAGACTTAAAATTCTCAGAACTGTGCCCAAAACTTAGAATCATAGAATCATTAAGGTTGGAAGAGACCTCCAAGATCATCGAGTCCAACCGTCAACCCAACACCACCATGCCCACTAAACCATGTCCCTAAGCGCCTCATCTACCCGTCTTTTAAATACCTCCAGGGATGGTGACTCAACCACTTCCCTGGGCAGCCTGTTCCAATGTTTAACCACTCTTTCAGTAAAGAAATTTTTCCTTACATCCAATCTAAACCTCCCCTGGCGCAACTTGAGGCCATTTCCTCTCGTAAGTAAGGCAAATTTACTTTGGATTTGCCTTACAACAGAAGCGCGAAGCTTTCTTCGTGAGAGAGAGCAAGACGACAAAGTCTGGCCTTGAATCGGTAATGAACTGTTCAGTGAACTGTATCCTCGGGAAGAGTTCTTTGCTCAGCGTGCGTCCCCTCAGACACAGCCTATGGCACGGAGAAGAGCCTGTGGGGCTAACCTATGTCAGATAGGATGTCATGAACCATAACTGCTGCAGGTGAAAGAGGGGCCCACAGCCAGTTTCCGTGGTAACTGGTAGGCACCTGCAGCTCTTTGACGCAGTACTGGGTCTGTCCTTGTCTGTGGATAGAGCATTCAGTGATGGACCTATGTAGCTGTCCTGGCAAAGCCTCACCAGGGTTCATTTTGTGGAGGGCGAGCTATTTTTCCCTTTCTAACAAGGCATTTTCACTCGTGTTGTGTTGAGCTCCATCCCCCATTTTATTTAGCTTGTATTTGTAAATATTGGGGATAACCTTTATTGTTTGTTTGAAACATTTCTTTCTGTTTTGTTACAGCCTGCACTGAATTTGCAGACTCGCCCAAATTTGCATCTAGTTCCGCTGCTGCCTGAGGTTCTGTTTTGGTAGCTTGCTGCTTGCAAGGAGAAAGAAAACATTATATGAGCTTGTAAAGTCATGGAAAGTCATTTGCTGAAGCCGTAAAGATTGGATGATGCGCAAGATTTCTAAAAGATCAATTCTGCTCTGCAAGAGCAATTGTTCTTTGCATCACATGCAGTATCAGGAAGCAGGCTCGTTTGAGTGTGAGACCGGGTTCCCTAGCGTTCTGGTTACCACTCGTAGCTGTTAAAGTGTTAAACTACAACGGGTTTGTAATCAGATCCTGCATATCCGCTCCTTTTGTGGTATCTTGCTATGCACCCTGAAGCTTTGGTCTACAATGCAGATATTGCTTGAGTTAGGAATGAGTGGTGATTGTCAAGAACGGAGGTGGAGATTAATTCTTGATTTGAGATTATATCTGGAACTATTGTGCACTATTTGTGAGATTGTTCTCCAAATCAGTAGTTTTAACACTCTTTGTGCTGCTCAACGTTGAGATGTTTTGTTTCACGGAAGAGTTGTGAGCAAGACAGAGCATGATTAAAAATAAAACAGCATTCTCCAGACTCCTGTAAGATTTCTGGTAAACATTTTTAACTAAACCTACCTTGCACCGCACTCCTCAGGTGACTGTCAAAGGGATTTTAAAGTGCTGGAAGTAAGAGGAGAGAGTGACAGTCACATTTTGTGTGCTCATATGAGGATGCCCAATATGCTTTTAACCTGCTCCTTTTTTCCTCTCTGTTGTTAAGCATCAGCAACTTTAAAGCTAGATAGCTGAAAGCAGTTTTATCACTTTGCAGCGGTGCCTGGCCGTGTTCCGCAAGCGGGGCCTTCTGAAGCCGGGAAATGCTTGCAATTGCAGTTCAGGTTTTGTTCTCTGGGACATCACGCCTTGAACCAATCAAGACTGGTGAGCTAACAAGTGAGAGGGACCTCCTGTTGTCTTCGGTGGTTTTTTTACTTCACAGTTTCCAGAAGGAATGATTGCTACAAAAAACCCCTCAGCACAGCACTTAAGGAAGTGCCTGTAGAGAGGAGAAATCAAACTGGTCACTAGACAAACCATAAGCTTTCACAGGCTTCTGATGTTTTTCCCCAAAAAACCAAAGGACGTTTTTAGAAATGTGATAATAGGTATGACTTTTCTGAGATGCTGACGTAGGGACATTCAATGTAAACAGTCCAGGAAGCGAGAGAAGAAAAACATCAGGTTCACCTTTCAAAGCCAAAGAAACATTTTGATAATCTAATAGTGCACTTCTCTTACTGTTCTGAGCTTACACTGCTTCGGATACTTCAGCTATTCAGAAGTATCCTCGAAGTTGCGCTTGTGTATTTGGACGATTTTAGGTCTAAACTACACCACATAACCAAACAAGATCTTAGAAACTGAGTATGGTTGTTAGTAGTTGCCTTTGAGCACCGGTTACAGTGTCTTCCCAACTAGTAATTAACTGGTTAGTTCAAACCCATTTTTTTGCATACTTTCATCCGGTACATTTTCAAGCGGCGTATGGTGATGTTACCGGTGTCCAACATTAGGTGCTGTGCTGAAGCACGTTTTAAGTGTTCATCAAAAATATGTTCAAAGTAGATAAGACATCAATTCTTTGCAACGTTTTGCGAAGATATATGTAAATTTGGCAATGTAAGGACACTTAAAGACTGTCATCAACGCTTTCAGCAAACAATTTTTTTTGTAAGTTAGTTTATCAAAAGCCTAATACAGCCATGGGCAAGCAGATCAGCCTCAGCTAGGGACTGCTCGCAGCTGTTGGATCGCTTTCTCCTTAAAGTCTTGTGAGTAGTGTCCAGGATACTAGAAGGTGGATTTTGTTCCGCCGAGGTCCACGATTGCTTGCTGCTCATTTCAGTGGGCATCTGCTGTGAGCAAAGGATAGGATTCCATCTTGCTGCTTTTATAGGCACAAATCTCTGTTTTCTTGTTTATTTAAGTTTTGACGTAATGGAAGTTACATCATTGTACAGGATCAACAGTTACTTAGTAGGCAAGTCTGAAACTTCAGCTAAATGTCTCGAAAACATACAAGGACAGGTACAGGGCTACGCTACAGTTGGTATGTTTAACAGTCATGCCCATATTTTCACGTGGTCAGTAACTTGCAGGTGTTTGAGGTGCCTTTTTGATTCCCAGCATGACTTCAGAAGGTCTGTCTATACAGTAAGCTTAAAGAATGGAAGTGATACAAAAATTGCTACTTCCGTGAATATTACATACCTGATCACTGTGTACGAAAAGTGGAAGATTCTGGCGTGAGTACATGAAGTACAAGTTTTTGGATGAAACAGAGTAAGAGCAATGCACTGAGCATATATATATATATAGACATATGATATCCAACGTGCATATACTGACTGTACATAAACATACTCAGTGTACATGTACACTGACTACAGATAATGTGATTTACCCTTTGTATGATGTAGCATCATTAAGTTTTGATGTTACTGGATTAGCTGTACGTTTTGCTAAAAATGTTCAAGAATATAACAATTTCTGTATGCTTTAAATTTGTCGGATATTAAATCACTTCCAGGAGAAGCTCAGAAGAGGAGAAATGGGTGGAACTCTAGAATGGGACACAGTAGATTTGACTTTGTACTTGACCTGGCTGCTGGTTGATCTTGGACATTTGGCTTTCTCTCCTTCTCTCTGTTTTCCACCTGTTAAATGCAGATGATTACTACCTCAGACCCCTTATAACACAACAGTTTGATATCTCCTGATAGGAGTAACACCTAATTCTTAGTGAAACCTCTGTACAGGGTGCTGGTAACGATGAGACATAATTTTAGTTACTCCCAGATAAAAACCACACCGTTATCCATTACTTCGCTTCCCCTCCAGCCCCCAAAGCTGTCTTTTTCAGTATCTCACTGACTTGTTTTTAAGTCTCGAGACCCTTAAGACAGACCGGGTACTTTCACTTCAGTGAGCAAACGGATGCAAGATCGTTTCTCTTGGGAAGAGACAGATCATCGTCTCTCCTCCCTTTTATATTCCCTTGTTCTTAAATGCCAGAGATTATGATCCCAGAAATGTAGATGATCTTCAGTATTTTTGTGGACAATGCTCTTTACTAGCCGTTTGGACTTTGAAGAAACTCCGTATTGAAGAACAGGTACAGGCCACTACAGAACGCAGAGAAGATACAGAGAAGATAGCAGTCCTTCTTGGAGCACTGTAGTGCCACGGAGTACAGCCTGGCACTCCCAGCTGATAAACGGCCGGCTTTTTCCTTGCACTCACGGGAGGGATTTTTGGAAATGCCAGGGAAGAACCATGACCTCACAGTTTCTTATCTCCTGTGCCAAGGGAATCTTCACAGGAGGTAGATCGCCAGTGGCATTTCTTTGAGACAGTAGTTGCTGTCAACATTACTGCCCTCTTAATTTGATACAAACGTGCTTCAGTTACTTCAAAAGCTTTCATTGTAGAGGAAACGCTAATGACTCTGGCTTACCTCATTTTTCATGCTTCCTTTTGTTTTGCTGTGATAGCCCTGAGTAGTCAGTATGAAAAGCAGGCGCAAGAATCATGGATTTGCTGCGAGAAGAACTTCAGAAATTTGTTGGTATTAACAGCAGCAGTATGTGTGTGAATGTGTTACCCGATACGAGGGGAGAATCCCAACTAAAATCTTGTTGCTAAACAAGTGACAAAGGCCTTACAAGCACTATGAGACTCCAGGCCAACTATGGTTATATTAATAATACTAATAATAAATCAGATCTCATCTATGAGGTTTTTTTATATGGAATAGTATACACATAGGAGGATTTTTTTACCAATTGTTATTCTTCTAACTTTAGTTTGTTGGTTTTTTTTTTTTTCTTTTTTCCCAGCATTTACTAAATGCTGTCAAGAAACCGGTCTTCTTATGGTGGTGAAGTGTCGGCAAGAGAACACAGCACTGAAAGACTGTCTGGTTGGCTAGTAAGTCCCTTGTGAGTTTTTGTTGGGTTTTTTGTTGTATGGCCTATACTAATCTTGAAATGAGTAGAAATCGTAAATCTTCTCAAGAGGGTTTTGCAAGGTTAGTGACTTTGATGTGTTTTCTGAAAATTGCATCTTCACTTCAGAAAAAAACGTGCCAGTCAGGGCCCTACCTGACAAGATTTTATTTGCTTAATAAAGCTGTCCTATGGCTATAAAGACTCTCTTCTTGATTTAAATGGTGACGGCTCTAGATTTTCAGCCCAGACAACCTGTATCCCTGTATTCACTACGCTGAATTACATATGTGGGGAATGGGGGTGAACAGCAGAAGCACCTTCATTCTCTGTTAGTGAGACAGGGTAAGTTTGTTTTGATTTTGCTTCTTGAACTGGTTTTTAAGATTTAGTCTTTGTCCTGAAAGTGTCCTGCTGTTGTGAACAGCAATAGCAGCAGCAACAGGAAATTGTTAGAGACTAAAGAGGTCAAGTTGATGCCACGGTGGATTGAAATGTCTCTTTTGGAAGTCCTAATTTATCCCCAGTGCCATCAGGCTGAAGTGTTAGATTCTTGAATTTCCCAGAGTGAGGGTTGGGGATTTTTTGAGTTTGACTGGGGGGTGGAAGGGGGTTGGTTTGTTTTTCAGTGGAATGTGTGTCCTGCCTTGCCCTGTTAAACGAGAGATTAAGATTATAAATGCCTTTAAACTAGTGACAGTTATTCTCAGGTATTTGGGAATTGATGAAAAAACATGTGCAGCCAGGCAAGAGTTCAAGCCTAACTGTAGTGAGAACTTGCTGGAGTTACTCAGTTTTATTTGTCTATAGCTCCATGCATTAAATTTTGCCTTTTTTTTTTTTTTTAAAAGGCAAAAAAGCAACACCCAAACCAAATACACACTATTGAAAAAAATGTTTAGTGCTTGAATAATTATACTTAAAATCAATATTATGAGAAAAATGAATTGAATGGAATGATCAAGGACCTACATGTTTACTTTTCAAGACATACACTTGAACCTGTTCCCAAGAGTTGCTTGAGTGCATAAATGTAAGTGTACTCCAGCAGATTCCCATGCTGAGGACGCTAACTGCCAATAATAACAAATGATTGAGCTGAACTGAAATACCAAATGTCTTCCCCTTTTTCTATCTTTCCTCTTCATGGCTTCACTGTAGAGGCTTGAAGAGGGTTGTGCCACAAGAGAGAGCAGTATCGTGAGAGAATGCAGACCAACGCAGTATTTAGAGTTTACGAAGATAACTTTAACTGCTTATGTACTTTATAAAAAAAAAAAAGGTATTTCTTATTGAAGGCAGGCAAATTTTCTTTGGGTGTGAAAGGAAGATCAGTTATGAGTGTTATTCATGCAATATCTGTTTCATATTCCAAAATGAAAAATAGTACTATGTATTTGTCTGTCTTGTAGCTATTCTGATCCATTATTCTATGAGGAATGCAAAACAGAATATTTGAAGCAAAGAGAAGAATACAGAGCAACTGGAATTAAGAAAAAAAGACAGAAGCTTACTTCAAATGTGTAGTTAAAACTTAATGAACTTTTCAGATTTTATATCCAACTTTTGGTTTGACTTGATTTAAACAGACTTAAATCATCTGTACCCATCTGTGTGGAATTTAACTGAAATACACAAAATGTGATGAACGGAGAATAAAATAATCTCTGAACTTAAAAGTCAAATTTTTTTATTTTCTGTAATTAAAGCTATAAAGCATGCTGTCACAGTTTGCAAGAGAAGTTGCAAAGGTCCTTGTCTCCGTCTGGACTTGAGATTCTGAAACCAATTTACAAATGGCCTTTTGGAATTTAAAGCTTGCGTCTAGTTATGTGTGGCAGGTTACATAAAAACTTAAGGGTGAATAATTTAAGTTGTATTAACTGATCACAAATTGGGTATACATTAAAATTGGGTCTATTTGTCATCTGAAGCTGAGGGTGTATGGAGATGCTCTTGATGCTCTTACTGGAAGAGAAAGGTGGCAAATGCAGAAGAGAAGAGCTCCTTGGAACGATTTATCTTTTTCATGAAAATGTTGAGTCATATGAGAGCCTGATAGTACTTTTTGCCTACACTGTGACTCATTTTTAAGTCTACACTGTCAGAAGAGATGGATGCCCCATGCTCGGTTGTGGCCCAGACTGACTGTTTCGACTCTAGAGGAAAAAGTCATCTGACCTAGACCTTCCCTGAGCGTGGGAGAAGGCGCGCTGAAGGCAAAATCATCGAGAGCAGTATCCTGCCCTGCTTTCCTCTTTCAGAAGGGAGATGATTGTATAAGCTTCCACACTTCAGGAGTGAGCAAGTGACCACACTTGCAAAATTATTACGGGTAGAGGTGAGTAAACGGCTAAACTAGGTATGTAAGATGCAGGTCACTTCTTGCAGAAATGAAAGGGTAAGCAAGTCCCTATTTAAAAAGGGGTATACAAAGGATCTTTTATATACGGATACTTGAAGCTGCTTAATTGTAGAACTCTCAAATGCATAAATGGCTTCACTAGAGCTAGTCTGTAAACTTTGTATTACTATTTTGGGGTATCATCTTTTGAAGCATTTTGGAAGAAAAAATTTCTTTACAAGTAAGGAAAGGCTGCACTTAGAAAACTTAGGTGGTAACTTTAATGCCCCGATTTCACAAAAAAAGATTTTTGCCTGAGTAAATAGTAGGATTTGTTCCTTTTCCATCAGAACATGCAAAATTTGACGACTTTATTTTAGTACTGTTTCACCACAAAACACCCGTACTGCTCTAAAGCTATTCGAGTAGGAAATTCAAATCGGACTTTGAGACACATATGTATGTGAAATACTTAAGTTAACGTTGCAGGTTAGTCCTTGTCCTTCATTCTGTGCCTTTTACTGGAATAATCAATAATAATGTTGCTTCTGCTATTACACAGCAGACCAGCTTGAGGTCTAGGGAATGCTTGTGAATGAAAAACTGAAAAGACGTGTAGCATTCTGCCTTGTTAGGCAAACTGCAAAACTAGCCACCTTAAAATAGCTTCTGTGGAATAAAGTTTCCTACACATGTACTTGCTCTTGGCTTCTCAGTTCAAGCATTTTGGAAAACAAAAATATTCCAGATCAGTGGAAAATGAGTTGTTTCCCTGTATTTATTTAAAAAAGAGGAAACTTAAGGTAGATGGTGAAATGTTTTTTAATGACAGCGACTTGCTCTGTTATCCCACTATGAAAATCTGCTCTGTTTTCAGATTTTCCAAAATCTGCTCTGGAAAGCAAGCCTGGGTGTTTGTAATTTTTGTCAAAAGCACTTCCAAAGGGGATTTGGGCTGGAGTGAGCATTCTCTTAGAGGCAAGTGCTGTGTGCTGCTAGTGGTACATGCCTGTGCCAAGGGCTCACCTGGGTCTCACTCAGGTTCACACCACAGCTGGTGAACACAGACAACAGCACCAGCCACAGGTTTCTCCTTGTCTGGCTTAGCAGAAAGTATTTTCAGCAGGTGAGGGGGAACCCCAGTGCACTGACCAGTACTGCTGGTGAGGGATTAGTGCCTGTAGTGGAACAAAGCCCAGTTTAACCTGCAGGTATTGCTCCCCCACCGTTCTATGTGGGGGAGCCTTATGTGAAGGACTGCAACAACTCACTTCGGCACTGATAACCAGGCTCTACTGTCAAGCCTGAAATTGCATGTACTGAATTATTCTGTCAACCAGCCATTTCTCCTTACCTGCACTGTTGTGTGTGTAAGGAAGAACTGGGTTATTGCAGCTCCTCCTTTGTTTACCGTGGCACACACTTAAAGCTGGGCTTTGCCCTTGGCTCTGGCATCAACTTACTCTGTAATACACCCATGGCCTTAATTTGATGTTTCCTAGTTTTGAATTCTTGATTTCACACCTTTCACTTTCTTAATGTTTTGTGCAGTATCCTGTATTTTAATTGCATTTATATCTTTTATTTAAAGTTTAAATGAAAGATGGAGTACCATGAAGTGACAAATTCATACTAGTATAAATTGCTTTCGGTTTTGTTTTTGTCTCAGCTGCAACCTCTCCTTCCTACTCAGGTTAACAGGAAGCAGCCCTCGATTCTAACCAATGTAAGAAAACATCAGTAGTCTTGACAAAGCCTTAAGCTGTGCTTCAGCAGTGAACTGGAAGCTTTTTTGCTACGTGTTGAATATTCTTTTAAAAAGCACTTCTATTTTGTCAGAAGTTACTCGTTACAAACCTGTAACTGCCTGTACTTACTGAGAGTAGCCAGCTATAGGCGATTAGGAAGGGAGCTGACATGGCTGCAGACGTGCAGTACTTCATCTCGCCCTCTCCATCCTAAGCCAGGGATCGCAACTCTAATTAATGGTCCCTAGATGCTTCTTCATATGTCTTTTCCTTTTGAAATCAATTCTGCAGGATTCTTACACGTTATTATTCAGAGTAGGAGTAGACAATTGGTGGAATTAATCTAGGTGTGTCTCCAGTGTTTTCAAGTTAGCCTGTTAATATAAAAAGGTTACCTAAGTGCAGAGGCAGGGACTAACTCAAGTAGGTCAGCCAAAGTCTGAAGCGTGGCAATGTCGCTAGCCCATCATAGTTAATATTTGCCTAAAAGTGCCTGATGTTTTCTAACACGTGACCTTCTTAAAAATTACAGTGGCATTACCAGGTGTTTGCAGTTCCAATTCTAAGACTGCCTTTTACAATTAGAAGCTTTCACAAAGTTGCGCGGCTTTCACCGCAGCCGTACAACCAGCCTGCACCCCGTGCTTACCTCCTTTAATGGGAGCCGTGTGCTCAGCCCGTTTAAAACCATCCACTGTGTGGCACTATTGATTGACACTGATGGAATGAGGTCTTATAGGTAGAAGACTGATGTGTCACCTAGCACCCTCACACAGTGCAGCAAGGCGTCTGTCACAGGTTCTGCAGCAAAGGGGCCTATCTTTGCCTCTTTGTAGCACTGGGGAGAACTTGGCAAGTGCCCGGGACACACACATTTTTCAGTTCAGGCTACACTCTTGCAGCGTATTAAAGCTCTCTTCAAACTCCTCAGAGAAGCCCCCTACATATGTGAAATCTAAAAGGAAGGAGGAAAAAGATGTCATATACTTACTTACTTAAAAAGTTTGCCTTCATAGAGTGAAATGAAAGATGAGCAGCATTCTGTAACGGCCAGGATTTTCAAAGAGGAGTGGAACCACCTACCACTGCAGTCTCCAAGTCCTCGCCCAGCAATTAATCTGTAAGCTAGAAACCCATTCTGCCTCATATTTAGTCCAGCCATACTCTGGTTGAATACAGTTGAAACGTTAAGTGTTCCATCTAGTTAAAAATCAGTTCAGTAACAATAAGCACCTGGTTATTTCTTTCATGCTTCTCCCCTAGACCAAACATCCATACTCAAAACACCATCATCTTACCCTTTAATTATTGTATCTTGAATTGTCTTGATGTTTGAACCACTTTGCCTCTTCCATCTTAAAATATAATGAAATGAATTCTGCTGGACACTGATCTCAGTTCACATCACAACACATTTACTACAGAGAACAGATTTTTAAAAAAAAATTATTCAACTGCTTATCAGACTTGGGAATTTGCAACCCGATTAAAATTAGGGTTTACCTTTAGTGCTGATAATAAAAAATACTTTGGTCCACTGTCCTATGTTCATACAATCACAAGTAGCACAGCACCCCCCCTGCCCCAATAAGGGGCAAAAGCCTGACCCTTAAAAAAGCAAAGCAATACACCAACCCCCCAAAAACCCACATGCCTTTTTGTATTCAAACTACACAAAGCAACAGGGAAACACCTTACTGCTCTGCGACCGCTGTTCTTCACAGGGCCTGTCTGAAGGTCAGAAGAAAATGCAGGCGAGTCGGTCAGGTACCGGAGCTTTTCGCTCTTCCTTTAGCAGTAAGTCCGCTTCACATCACCAGTATAGTTCACATTATACTTGCATGGGCCCGTGTTAAATTATTTGGAATGGGTATTGTCTTACTGTAACTCCACCATATGTCTAGTACTGCTCTCGTCTTTTCCCAGCTGTAAAAATTTGACCGTGCATCACAGCTAATTTGGGAGTTTGCTTTCTTCAATATGGCTAGTTCACGTAATAGGAAAACTAATCAGTTGCAAACCCACAAAACTGGCAGGGAGACTTAAAATGATCAGATTTTAAAAATATTTAAAATGAACCAAACAGTGGAAGTTTACAAATGAGTTATTAGAAGTTAGTCCAACTCTCCGAATATCCAAATACATATTCATCAGCTTGCCATATGCTCACTTAAATGTGCAAAGCAACAACCTCCTCCTGCCCCAAAAGCTGTCTTCCATTTCTGTTACATGGAATCAGTGCTTTCCTAAATTAAAAGTTGTCAAACGAGTGGGTTGGGTGAAGTTTCAAAAATGTTCAGAGTTTGCATTCCAGTGAATTTTTTTTTGTGTGTCATGTAACATACTTATTTGAGGATTTTGGTCCATACTTTATGCAATTTTACAGTTTTAGATCACAAATGCACGTGTGCACACAGAACACCAGAACCTCTTTGCTACAGCTACTTCTGCCTGTAATTTGCTGTCACTGTGATGAAAAGCTTTCACTTCTGGAAATGGAAAAAGCACTGTAAGCCACTAGTGGCATGGATTTAAATGACTTTTCCATCCCGAGACCAAATTTGATTGTATGCTTCAGACCAACAGATGCTTCACGAGCCAGCGAGCTCCCAACTGACTTCCGATTCTGGGGACTTCCTTTTCAAATGTTACAGTTTGGCCACAGCAATGAGTGAGTGGATGGGACCTGCTGCCTACAGCAAGCTCTCCGTCATCCTGCCCTCCTCTCTCGGGTATCAGCACTCCTTCTGAAGTCTCTCTCGGCCAACATCACCGCTCCCTTCTCCAGCACGGGAAGCAGCACAGAAGATGTATACCACGAGTCGAAGGCAAAGCCCAGAAATTCACAGGCACTGCACAGAGAAGCCTGATTTTAAGAAGTTTCCCTGTCACGCAGGACAGGCTGACCGGGAACCTTTTGACACAAATAGTCAAACCACAGGAACAGACCGTGGCTTAAGGTAACTAAGCCCTTCAGGTTTCAACATCTAGGAGAATGCTTCTCCCAGAACACATCGAAGCAGTCTACAGAGGATGTTTGGTTTTTCCCGAGCGGAGGAGGATGAACCTCAAATAAATTGTTTGTATTTGCAATGACCCTTATACACAATCAAGAAATTAAAACTGAGTAAAAAATTTTGTGCCAAATACTGAAAGGAGATTTGTAAGTGAAACCGATTTCAAACAAAAATAAATTTATTTAAAATCTTACACAGTAGAATTCCTTCATTGCACAAATCAAAGTATTAATCCCGTTGATGTCTGTTGGATAATACATTACTTACTTAATAAAAAACCTCTGTAATGTTGAGGTGGGGAACCCCCCAAAAGTAAGCTACATTAGAACTAGAGACCATATAGCTTATGCAGCCACATGAGAAATGTTTTCTGCTGCTTTGTTATTACACAGGTAGTTGGTTCTATCAGCTAAAGCCCAGTGACTTGGATTTGTTTTATGCATATTGGGTTTTGTTCTATTACTTTCCAAGAGATTTTACTCCCCTGAGTCAGCTGTGTTCATTGGTCAGAATAAATTCCAGCATCTGACACCATTTCCATTAATCACAGACAAGCCAGTATACGTGAGCAAGATAATAGAAAGATAAAAACAGTAGCTGGTGAATGGGAAACATTATTTATGTATGCTGTTCACTAATACAGTAGAAGGTATCTGGAAGGCATTTTTTTCAACTTTGATAGACAGACCGAAAGAGGAAGAGAAGATGGGCATCAGATGAAGTACTTACTCCACAGGGAGGAAAGTGTCTGGAACCACACAGGTCATGCAGCACTTCGGCAACACTTCTACAGCCCATCATTACTACGGCTGTGCTACAGTCATAGTTTCCTCGTGTATTTGCAAGCAGTTTTAAGATAATTTGCTACTAAAAAGCTGAGAAATTAATTTTTATTACACTGATCTTAAGCTGGACCTGTGAAGTCGAACACTTCACCCACCCACACATCTGTAAATAACATACTTAGTATTAAGTGTCTCCCCACCCATTACAAGTTCGGTACCATAGATCTAAAATACAAAGCATTTTTCTTCAATGTATTGAGCAGTCAAAGGCATTTCACTTAACCCTGTTGTATTAAGCCAGATATGAAGCAGAGCAGTTGAAAAAAAAAAAAAAAGAGGCATAAATTGTATTTGTCTAAAAACAGTTCTTGGCCTTAAGAGGAAAAAAAAAAGTACTTAGACACCCACAGTCTATAAAGCAGGCAGTTGCAATTCAAATAACTCTAGTTCTTATTGGCATACTAAAGATACCACAAAAATACTTCTTATATATATCAACAATGCTACAACACCTAGTCCGATTAAATTAAGGCTTTGTTTCTTTAATAAAAGAAAAGTTAGTAGCCTTCACCACCACACAAATACAAAGTCAAGGTTCTGGTGCTGTGCAAAGGAGGCACAATAAGGATAACTGCGCTGTGAACGGGATGATTCTGTGGCAGGCACCACTGTGCGCAGGATTAAGTCGGTTTCCTACAGCGTGAACTGAGGGAAACAAGCTGAACATCCAGGATTCACAGTGTTCAGCAGCATTACGTACCACCCTTTATAATTCACAGTAAGGCCCAAAATGGTGCAATCTAAACAGGATAGCCTAGGAATGATTTTTCTCTTGCCACTATCTAATATAAATCGAGATTTTGACCAAAAAAAAAAAGTCTCACCTTTCTTGGTTAAAAGTTACATAAAAATGCATTTCTAAACCAGAGGAATCAGAAAAGTTAATTGAAAGGAGGAAGGGAGAGAGAATCCAATTCTTCATTTTATGTCTTACTCTGAGAAAACCCACTGTCAAAACATAAGCTCAGAGCTGGTACAAGTCTTAACGCAGGATACCAAGTATTTTCTCGATAACATACAAATAGCAGACAAATACAGAACCAGATTACTTTGTTTTATTCCAAGAACTCACTTTTCAGTGTAACCTTTTGCAAATGTATGCCATTTGCAGTACAAGACTATCTAGGCCCCAAGCTAGATTTCTTTGTATTTACATTACACCAGCACAGCTTTAACTTCAAGGAACTTGCTCCTGATTTACAGCAGAGGAAGACTGGGCTTTCTGTTTTGGAGCTAGAGTTAAAAATAAAGAACGAACATTAAAGACGGTTTGTTCTCCCTCTTTAAAAGTTCAAGCGTTAAGGTGCCTATTCAGAACCATCCTAAAAAAGCCTCAGTTCACTCTAAAAATTGTTTAACTCTTGTGCAGACAGTTTTGATTACACTGATCCAGGTAGTCTGCTGGACAGTTTAACAAGGTTGGTTTATTTTTCATTTCCCAAAACACATTCTCATTAGGCTTTGGAGGACTTGGGAATACCCAGGAATTATCTTCCAGAGAGCTCTTTCCATAAGAATGGTGTTCCTGAAATGTTTTGCCGTCAACTGGAATGGGTCTCTCATTTGTCCATGCTTGTAGAGTCACCCTTTCAGATGGGATTTTTAGGTCTCTCAGGAGAGAGGGAGACACAGCATTGCAGAGTACTTTATCATTTTGTGAGAGTTTCTTATAGACTACCCCAGATGTCAAGTTCAGCTTTGAAATGTTCAAGTCAACACGTTGTACCGGTGCAGTAGAGGAAGCTGAAGAAAGAAGATAAAAGATTTTAAAGTGACATTATCTAATGCCTTTTCCATATACTCCAAACATACTACAGTATAGCAGGTGTGTTAAACCCAGTGTTTTCAAGCTACAAATTTTCAGACCATATTTTACCTCAGTAACTACTTAAAAGTTACAAACTGAATGTACTAACTGCCTCAGATTTTGCAAGATGAACCAGAGAGCCTGAAATCGCCATGTCTAAAATACACCCAACACCAGGGAAACCTCCCAGTTCCCACTTGAGCACAGATAAACTGACGACTCTTTTTGACGAGACTGGAATGAATGCTGAAACAGAGAGGATTTTCATGCACTTGGAGACATCGACCCGATTCAGAACATGGCTTACACAAAGCATGCTTCTTCCTACTCTACTGATTCTTTTAACAAGTTGTGTTCTCAGGCTGCCAAGAACGTGAATTCTCACTGTCCATGAAGCAGTAAGAGGGAAATGTATGGTGTTCACGGGTTCTCTGTGCTCCGCTATTGTCTGACTTCTGAAAGTAAAGCAACAGACTGCAATATTTGGCCATCTGAAATTCCAGGGGAGTTTTAAACCACGCTAGGAAGGGGAGGATTTCGAAACAGCACAGCATCTACCTGAAATGAAAGAGCTGCACCTTCAACGCGTGTCTGAACAGATGGCCGAATGCAACCAGGTCATTTATTGTAGCGGTAATTTACATAACCATGTGATGGGAGTAGATTAATGATTCCTGCAGTTAAAGAAACTCACATCTTACAGGCAGCTTTCTGGAACGGCTGTGCATCTTGAGTATGGACTGTGATTTGTAACTTTAGTGCTTAAGGGACAGAAAGAGGAGCCAGTATCTTGGTCACAGAATACAACTTCCATTTGTCATTATAAATTAAAAGGCGGTACCCAATTCGCAAATGTCAGCCAAAAGCACCTTCCCATAGCGCAGGCATCGTATCTGAAAGACACGCTAAGGAACTGGATTTGGCCTCTTTGTGCTGACAGGTGTAAAAAGCAATTTGAGGTATACAGACCTTTAGAAGTTCAAGAAAAATGGAATCCACTGAAAACGGATTGAAAATGTAAAAAAAAAAAAACCAACCCCAAACCAACCCAAAAGCGGACACACGTTTGTTGAAAATGCCTCCATACATAAATGACAGCTAAGTAGAATCCGCATGTTAACTGATATTGTTAACATCACACACGCAGCAATGAATACAGTGTGTTCTGCAGACATAACGCACCTCTTACAGCGGCAACTAGTTTGTATATGGTAAAATAACTAGTACTACAGGTATAGGAAGTGAAAGTTTTAAGTCAATTCTACCCGTATTTTGCATAAGCCAAGATTTTTCTATAAATATAAGCACAGATATATCTGCATTGCATTCGTAAGAGTGGCTGACAAGCAAGGTAAACAAAAAAAAAAATACAGTTAATAT